TTGCTTGTGTTATTAGTCTGCTCATTTCACTTTTAACTTTCTAACTAACCTTTATTTTGAACTTGACGTAAGCTTCTTCAAAGCTACTTGAGGCTGAATATATACACGAGAGACTTGTTATCAGCATTTCCAGTACAAACTACATCCATAACACTGATCGATAATATAAATCACCAACAGACAGAAATCAACTCTGTAAAGACAATGACACAATGACACAAAATCGTCAGCTCTTTTGTGTTTAGAAAACCATGTGCTTTGTCAGATGATTACTTTCGGAATCGAGCAGTTTCCAAATGAAAGAATCTAATATTACTAGTACGCAAAAGTGTTCTCATAGTTTTTAAAGAAATAAACAATATGACAAGAAGGCTTACCTTAGCTTCCATATGACACGGCATTTATTTCATCCTCCTCCGGGTGACATTAAAACACTTTTAAACGATTCTGTCGATTTGTCCACGGACCATGGTCGATAGACATTGTAGCTTTCAAGATTTCGATGCAAGGATTGTCGCTTACAGGATTTCATTGTCGATTTGTCATAGCAATTGTTCTTTAGCATAAGAACTTTCCATTTTTCAACCCACGAAGGAATCCCTGTTTACAGATCGAACAAAAAACCATCGTCAACCTCCGTGCCGTGTTACGCCATATTGTTGGACAAAAATTTACACCTTTTTAGTACCCCCATAAAATCAGTTAAACATATCCCCAGAAGTCCTTGAGACAAAAACAATACTTAGCAGGGGAGGTAGGAAAAAAAATGCTTAATTTGGTTTTAATGAATAAATTAATCAGAATTGAGTGAGTGAGTGAGTGTCATTGGACTGCCTACTAAGCTCATGTATGATGTAAACTATGTCATCCATGAGCAAAAATAAGACTTTTTACTTTTGTGCAGGGCATTAAATTATGTATTATTTTAAAAGCATTTGATAGCTTGGTGTCTGTCTATGAAATAAATGAGAAAATTGTGCAATATGTTTTCAAAAGTAACCTTGAGTTTGTTTTTCAGCTTTCTAGATACCAGCACTACAGTGCAAGCCTGCTCTCAAGTCAAGACAAGTACTATGAGCATCAGAAACAGGCAGGATCGAAAAAGTTGAAAAGAAAGAAGCTGAAAGATGGTATGTTATATATACAACTGTACTATAAATAGACCTTCTCAGGGATACAGTGGCCATTTTGAATTCTATTGTTTCAAATTGCTATTATGGGATGCTCAGGGGGCAAATACATTCTAATTTGTCCCCTGAACATCCCATAATAGCTATTTTGAAACTGTTACATTAGAGTTCAAAATGGCCACTGTATCACCGAAAAGGTCCAATTGCTATCACTTCCTGATTAGTCTGTCAATTCAACTTAATTTAATTTAATTCAATTTTTTATTAAGCTCTTTCATAGAGTGGTTTTCATTTGACAATTACTTTGGTTTTGGTTTTGGTTTTGGTTTTACTACGGTTTGAGATTGGCTGAGTAGTCTAATTGGTATGTAATTGGCTTGGTTTTGGTTTTACAACACTCGATTAAAGACTGTTCCAATCGGCATCAACACAAATTAACATTACTGGATGAGGAAGAAACAGCAGCTTGTATTGGAAGGATTATGTAGCGTGTGTCAACAAAATAATCATGTAAGGTTATGCAGAGAAGGTTCCTGAAGACACCCTGAAGACAGATCCCGGTAACGCACATGGACCATCCCCATCACGGCATGTACCATCCTGAAAAACCCGAGGAGATCATTGTTGTTTCAAACTGCAGGGCAGCTACTACTCCAAGGGCCTTGTGGAATACTGAAAGGCTGTATGCCCTTTTGGAGCTATCTCTTCCCCAAGCTGCTCCAACTACGCCCAACAAAGGACAGCAAATGATGACGGAAAAATATGTGGGAGTGCTGTTGCAAGTACAATGCGCTCCACAGATGACTACCTCTGTTCTGTCAGTGCAGAAACCATAGCCAAGGAACAAATCAAAGGAATTCCTCTGCCGTCAAGCATGCACTAAAGGTGGATTTAATCTTACAACGTTCATCTGCAAGCAACAGAATGCCCTTCAGTCCATTGCTGAAGAACAACAGTTCAAAGATGTTAAAAGGTCGGATCTAAACTACAGTGAGCCACCCCATCAGGGCTGTTATTAAGTTTTAATTCACCTGTAGCCTTGATTCTCACACCCGTAGCAAACTTGTTACTTTATGGGTGAATTGTATCAACCACAGGCCAGTTGACCCATAACATCAACAGTCCATCAAACATACTCAGCCATAACAGGTGTTATGTGTTATGACCCTTATTGACAGCCCTGCCGTATTGACCATGTTCTTGGTGTAAAGTGGTGTGTCAAATCCCACACCTTCAGATTTTACATCACCATTAAGGATAAACTGCTTTCAAGAAGAGGAATTATTCCTCTTCTTGAAAGCAGTAAAGTAAAGTTACTGATGACCACTCCAATAAAACACAAAGACTCACCTGATATGATATCAGGTGGGTCTTTGTGTTTTATTGGAGTGGTCATCAGTAACTTTACTTTACCTGTGCTAGGAATAGTGGCACACAAGACAGGCAGGAAATTAAAACAAATAGAGAAGTTATGTTTGACAGCTCACTGCATTGTGTTTTTGAACATGGCATGTTACTCTCACAGTGTCTCCCTTCACCCAGATATACAAATGGGTACTGGGTGAATTTCATACTGGGGCTAACCCTGTAATGATCAGGCATTCCATTTAAGGGGGCAGGGGGAGTAGAAAAAGATGTCTTATCAATTGATGTTACAGAAACTGGGGTAAGGTTTGGCAGTTTGGATCACTGATGGCCTGATGAAGACTTTACCTTACCTTCTTCGTTGAAACTCCCCCAAGTAAGGTCCAAACTTCTAATGACTTATTTTTAAATTGTGTAGTTTGTAAAACTTGAGAGATCAAGGAATTCCTTAAAGGTAAAAACATTTTCAGTTTCTCATTAGGTACAGAACAGAGATGCAAAGGAAAAGAGCTATGTGCTGAGACTCAAGAGGAGAAAGAATCAAATTGAGACCTTGGATCCCATAGCAGGTCAGTCGCAATTTTATTTATGTTTGATATCATGTACATGTACCAGGAATAATTGTGCACAACTCAGGCAGAAAATTAAAACGAATAGAGATGTTATTGTTTCACTACTACTCAGCTATTTCAACAAACATTGTTATGTGGCTGTATACCTTAGCCCTTCAGGAGTGGGGTGTACAAAAATTCTTTAAGACTACAATGTTTGGGGTACTGTTGTTGAGGAGTATTTTTGTGTGGGAGGAGGAACACAGTTAGTGTAGTGGACTGCACATCAAGTCTAGTTTTGAGCCAATTGTAAGGGTCTCTGCATTGCGTACTTAAATTTCACACTACTTCTCTCCAGCTACAATCATAGACAAAAGTCTTTGGACAAATTTGCACTTTTATGCTTTTGCACACAACCCGGACAAACAGTTGCACTAGGCAGGTGAAGGTTTATTTAATACAACTTCACCTGCCAAGCCTCTCCCCCCACCCCACATACACTGTTTAAAACTGGTACCTACCATATCTCCTGAGTTTCAACATTGTAACAGTATTGGATACGGAGAGGGGAACAGCAACACATTACAAGGATAGCAGTGCTTTTTCAAACTTCAGTTGAAAAACACCGATAATTTGTTGCATTACATCAGTGTCTCAAGGACTTTTGTCCACAATTGTAGTTGTACAAATAAGTACTGGTTCCTAACCCTGTGACAGACCAGCATCCCATCCAGGTGCAACAGAAATATGCTTATCACTTAGTGCAACAGAGACCTGGATAAGCTGGGGTGGTTTGCACCACTTGGCCTGGTGCAGACTTGACTATACCTTTATTGTCGAAATTTGCCTTAGTAGGGTTAAAATGGAACAAAAAATTGGTCTGTTTTTGTGTAGTTTCTAAACTAAGACATGAAACCAAGAATGTCACAAAGGTTAGAACATTTCCTAATTCTTACTTGATAGGACACGGAAAAAAAACAAATACTATGCTGAGACTCAAGAGGGAAAAGAATCAAATTGAGACACTAGATTCCTTATTAGGTAAGTCACAATTTTCTTTTAAAAGGAAGGGTTTTTAATCACGTGATGGTGCAGGTAATAGGAAGTGAATGAGTGTAATAGTACACAATGCAGGTAAAGAATTTAAGCAAATTGAGATGTTATTGTTTCACTGTACGAATATTTCAAGAAACCTTTGTTATATGGCTAACCGGACACAGTCAGCTGGTGCACATGCGTGTTAGATACCATTTCATATCCAATTTGCATATCACGGAGACTAGATCCATACTTTTTTTAACTAAATATGATAAAAATAATATCATAGGATAAGCAAAAGCACATCCAAAAACAGGTTTTTCAGTAAACGATTGGAAATCAAGCAAAACACTGCGAAGATTGAAGCGGACTTCAAGATGTACTTTGATTTCAGGTTGAGGTGGACTATTTTCAAAGTGAGAAAACTAGTTGAGTTAGGTTATACAAACATTCCTTAAAAATGTAATGCCCGAGGTACTGTTGTTGATGAATATTCAAATTGTGAGAAAAGGGGCCTAATTTGATTAAAGACCAATTGATTTCTGGTTCATGTATACATGCATACACACATGACTTTTACCCTCGGATTTCAGAGTAGCTTATGTATCAATGCGCCTCATGAGTGATCAGCCCAAAATTTCAAAAGAAAACCATAATTACTTGTAAACAACTGTGAAATATATTGTCTGCATAAATGCATATTGCATTTGAGACAACAACTTTGTCTTGATATTTGCTTGAGTAAATATTTCAATTTTTGTTTCTATTTGGTCATAAGCGTCCGGCAAAGTACTTTAAAAATGTGAAGCTACCCGAGAGCTTTTTTATTTTCAAACATTTTGCGAGTCATTTTAAGATTGGCGACTATTAACCACTCCTAAATTCATCCTCAGGAAGAAAATATAAATTTTGTCCGTTTTGCCGGGAACATTTTTTTTGCCGTGAAATTTTTATTGTGCTATTTTGCTGGTGAGCTTTTCGCCTGCAAACGTTGGAAATGAAGGTTAATTTTAGTGCTATATTTTAGCCGGTGCTACTTATTTCGTGTTGCTGCTTGTCCGCGTTTTGAGTTGATCTTAGTATATCCTATTATCTCTGCTATGATGATGTAGCCAAACGACAAGCATACATCCTGATGAGAGTTCTAATTTAAATTTGCGAACTTAAGTCGAGTGTACACTGTATGTATATTTTGTTCTTTAGGTTTCAGTTTAGCCATTGTTAATTGGACGTTTTAATTAACTTTCTTTCAGGCTGCTATCTCAAGTGTACATGCAGCGACATTAACAAGGAGAAAGAAGCAAAGGAAAGCAAAGAACTTCGTTTAGAGGTTTCTTCAGTGGATCACGTTTTAAAAGTACACTGTAAGGTAGATTTACAAGACAAAGTTTATCTCGACTAAGTTTCTTTCGAAAGATTGTTAGGGTGGAGCTCGTATCAGTGATTTCTCAACACAAACACAAAACTCAAGAGTCAAAAGAAGACATTGGAAATACTGGCAAATTGGCTCGTTTCTTGCTAGTTTTCGAAGAAGCCGTGAATTGTATTTTAAGTTTGTAGCTTTAAAACTAAGGTAGAACTTTGGCATTACCTGAATTTGTTTTTGCAACCCGAATTTCAGACTGGAAGTCTCGTTATTAAACCCGTTCAAAGTACTTTCTAATTGTCTCGTGTCTATTTCACTGGCCTCTTCCAGGCGTTCAGTTAGTTGG